ATGCCGTTTGGTGTTTGTAATGCCCCGTGGATTTTTACTGAGATGGCCCATAAAACGTTAGGCCATATTCCCGAATTGTTGATTTACATGGATGATTTCTGTGTTCTTTCCGCAACCTTCGAGAATCATATGAAGTCTTTAGAGAGCATGTTCGTAGCTCTTCAAGCAGCAGGTTTGACATTGAAACCTTCGAAGATTTCGTTTGGCCCAAAATCCATCGAGTATTTGGGACATATTATTTCGGCTGAAGGGATTTCTGTCGGGAAGGATCGTATTCAAGCCGTCCAAAACCTTCCTACACCTCGTTGCCTTAAAGATCTTCGCTCAGTACTCGGGGTGGTTAATTTTGTGCGCCGGTTCATACCGGATTACGCAGAAATAACCAACCCGTTGGTGGAGTTAACTCGCAAAGAGTACGCCACAAAATCGCGTTTCGTAAAAGCTTGGAAAAAATCGCACGACGCATCGTTCGCTCATCTCAAGCGGTTATTAACTTCAGCGCCCGTTTTACATTTCCCGGATTTCGATCGGGAATTCGTAGTTCATGTGGATGCATCCGAACATGGGTGTGGCGCGTTTCTTGCCCAGCCGTCCAAGGCTGATCCGGAGTCTCTTGACATAATTGCGTATTATAGTAATCGATTCAAACATGGACAGCGTCATTACTCTGCGTCTATGAAAGAGTGTTGCGGTGTGGTACTTGCAATTTCGCATTGGCGACCGTATTTATTTGGGAAACACTTTACGGTGATTACTGATCATCAAGCGTTGACTCATCTTTTTTATATGCAAGACACCAGCAACATGCTCACTCGTTGGGCTATCGCTCTTCAAAATTATGATTTTACCGTCAAACACGTAGCGGGGAAATTAAACGTCGTACCCGATGCGTTATCTCGTTTATTTGGCGAAATTGAGTCCGAGTCCGTATCGCACAAACCGGCCCTGGCGTCGATTTGTAGGAATGTGCCGAGTGATCGTCCGTACCATCCACCTGGCCCTCGTGACTACGAAATTTCTGCCGATTCGTTGAACGATGTTGATATTGTCCAGAATGACAATGAACTGTTCGCTAGTGCTGTATCGTTATTTCCTGTGCTGGATCCCGCTAAATTGCGAAGAGAGCAGTACAAAGAGTTCGGTCCGTATATCGACTACGTCAAGAAACCCAAAACAGCACCGTTGCCGTCTAGCGAAAATAAAGGCACCATGAGTAATTACTTCTTGAATGAAAACGTGCTCTTCAGGTCGTATTTACCCGGGTATCTTCGTAAACGCAGTTCGTTCCGTGATCAACTTGTCGTTCCCACCGTTTTGCGTGCGTTAGTTTTGGATTCTTGTCATGATGCTCCTGCGTCAGGGGGTCATCTAGCGTTCAAAGCCACGTACGATAGACTCAGAGATCGTTTTTGGTGGCCGACCATGTCTCGAGATGCGTCCAAACACATCCAGCATTGTTCGTCGTGCCAACACCGAAAAACGTCCCACAGACGACCGTTATTACCTGTGGGTCACCGTCCCGTTACGCGTCCGTTTCAGTGTGTCGCGATCGACCTCGTTGAATATAATTCCGTATCACAGGGTTGCAAGTACGTCTTGTCGGTCATCGATCACCTGACCCGTTTTCTCGTGTTGATTGCTATTCGTGATAAAAAAGCAACAACAATTGCACAGGCTCTCGTAGAGCGTGTCTTTTCCGTTTTCTCTCCCCCTGAAACGTTACACAGTGATCAGGGCACTGAGTTCGAGAATGAGTTGGTTAAAGAGTTGCAGGCCGTGTTTGGTTTCAAAAAAACTCGGACGTCCGCGTATCGGCCGCAAGGCAACTCTGTATTAGAGCGCGTGCACAGCACAATGCATGGCATGCTCGCAATGTATGCAAACGTTCGGTTTGATAATTGGGCTGAGCTTTTACCGTTTGTGCAACTCGCCCATAACACCGCGTACAACCAAACTCTTGAGGAAACTCCTCATTATCTGATGTTCGGTCGCCAGGCTTTGCTTCCCGTGGATGTCATTCTTGGTGTACCGTCTCATGATAGCTCTGCTTCGCGGATGGAATATTCACGTCGTACCGTGGATAACTTGCAACTCGCGTATGAGATCGCTCGTCGTAATTTGAAAGAGCGAACTGACAAGCAAGCAGACTCGAACGAAAAATTATCCGTACCGCAGTTCACTCCTGGGGAACAAGTTCTCGTACATCGTCCCCATACCGTTATTGATGGCCCTAATCCCAAGCTGATCAGCCCTTGGCATGGCCCATTTACCGTTCGTTCAAAAGTGTCACCCGTCATATATCGTGTTTGCAAAGACGGCCAACTCGCGGAAACGTCAGTACACTTGGGTCGTATGAAAAAGTACTATGCTTTTCAACGTGATTCTGTCCCCGATTTTACTGAATTGGATGAGATGTTTTTGGGACAAGCACTTCCAATTCCCGATTTGGATGGTACCGTGTTTACCGTAAAAATTGGATCGTACGTCGTCGAGGGGATAGACAAATTTAAACGTGGAGCAGGAAAACCGTTTCTCCACAACTTCCAATATTATTTCCTCCTCAAAGACCGTCCTGCGAGTCTTGGGTGTTGGAAGCACTTCAAAGAAGTACCCCAGTGTCATGAGATGATCCGTTCATATCGAGCGTGCGTTCTTCGTGATAATCCGCACGCCTTTGATCATTCTCCCAGGAAGTAGCGTCCTGGCTGCTTCGTATCGTGTTTCGTGCTGTGTTTTGCCTTATTCGTTTCGTGTTTCGTTTATTTTCCAAGGGCTACGTTTTCGTTTATTTTATTTTATTTCATTTATTTTATATGTACATATATGTTATTGTTTGTTGTCCAGCACGATCGTTTCGTAGTGCTCACCGTCCCCAACGTTCCTTCGCAGTCCGGCCGGACATTGTCGTTGTTGGTGGATACGCCCACGTTGGATGCAACACCTCGTGGAAGTCGGCAGGTGGAGCCTAGTTCGCGTCGAGATTCGCCCTCCGCGAACCAAGCATGGTTGCGTGTCTTCGTTTCGTTGGACATGCATGCTAGCGCACGTCATTTTTAAGGCATGGCGTTGCCCGTCCGTTGTGTGATTTATTTATTTATTATATATTTCTCCGTTTAAATGCCGTACGAAATAGTACCTCGTACGAGCTCCGTCAGCGTTTCAATTGTTTATGATTGGAACGTGCGTCCGTTTTTTTTTAGACAATCGTGCGTGGTGTGAAGCGTCCATTACCGTTGTGTCGCTGTCCTTGAGATACGAGTGCGTCGTATGGGGTCAGTTGATACTTCATGTGAGCGAATATGCAGGATCGGAAGTTCGTCGTTTTTTCTCGTCCACTCCGTCATTTAATTGGGGGGTGATATCGTCTCACTTGCAGTTTGGGGGAATTGCAATTGATAATCGACTTCTGGATCCATGCACTTTTGCATTGTTCACACGGTTTTGTTCATGCCCGATTTGTCTAGTCGTTTCGTGCGGTGGATTTTTATTCCGTCCCGTTCGTCCGTGCGGGAGATCACATGTTGCCTACAGCGCTGAAGCTGACTGCGTGACATGTTCCGTACACCTTTCGTTATCCGCACATCGGTTCTCGCGTGTCGTACACTGCGAAAGAGTAGATGGGTGTCTTGGCCGTGCAAGAGGAAGCACAAGAGGACCAGACCTTCGTCCCACTACTGCATCAAATCCATGCTACAGCATATCGTTTGCTGTACTCGTAATCACCATTCGTCGTCGTTCGTCTATGCAGCGCCTCTCATTTGCGTAATCGCATGAGAAGGTCGTATCGTTAGCTCTCCGTGAGCTGTGCACATATGTTCGTTCGTTGTTGCAGCTGCATATCGTTTGAGCAACGTTTTCCCAGCGGGTCGACCCACGTCATTTGCCATTCGACACTTGTGAACTTTAAGCCTTGCAAGCAATCGTTTTTCACAGGTGCAATGCCAAATTATTTTTCGTTGCTGGATGTTCGTTACGTGCAACTACAAAATAGTTCACGGCGTTGTCTCAAGGTACTACTCGTACAGTTTTTTTACACTATCGGGGCAAGACGCGCACCGAAGTGATGTTTTTTTTCTGTACACCCGTCGTTCGTTCGTACGGTAGATCACATGTTACCTACAGCGCCGAGGCGGACTGAAGTGACATGTTCCGTACACCTTTCGTCATCTGTGTAGTTATTCGTTCGTCGTACGGGAATAGTTGCCAAAATTCCTGAATTGCTCTCGTGCAAACTGTGGTTGTGACTGCATTATGTACGATCGATGCTCGGATGAGATATTTTGGTGACACGTTCCAAAAAAAAAATTTTGTGACTACAAAACACAGAACATTCGTTGAATGATGGCAGTCGCCGTACGTTACGGCCCAAGTCATTTAACTCGTGTTTTTCATCAGGACTTCACCATTTCATACACTCTGGGTTATTTATGTCATTCTTGTATCTTTCAATCCGGATTCAGGCCCCGTGATTGAAGATAGGGGGGTGCTGTGAATGCCACCTCAGACTGTAGTAGATGGTGACGTCAGACGACCTGTCGGAGATCTACCTTCGGGGTGTTGCCACAGATAGAGTCAGTGTCGGGTGGATGCTGAACCTTGCTTCAACACAAGGTCGCCCCCCCCCTGGTTCACAACACAACTATCCGTACTCGTCAGCCTCTTCACCAGAGGTTGAACCGGTGTGTATACACACCACACATCCCAACTGGAACTTGCTCACACGCGAACCTGGAGACAACAGTCTCATATGTCAACTTTATAGAACGTTTAGTACTACCTGCTGCTGGCTGCTGTGAGTCTACATGAGGTAGCTCTGGTGTCCCTGCTCATTTGTAGTATAGCTATTATATTTGTATGCTTTATTTTTTGTTACAATGCCGTGATGTAGTTGTGCGCGCTGTAGCGCACGGATTCAAGCAGAAATTTAGCTGTTGTACACGGCGGAGTATACAAAAATCCGCTTCCGCTGCTGCTGTACTGCCTATTCGATCATGTTGCAGACGAAGCGAGCCAAGCTTAATCTTGGGAACCTCAAGGCTGACGAACCGGTGGGGGGGGCGGAGCAAGAGGAACCTGAGCAGGAGAGGGAAAAGGGTGGTGGGGAGTTGCTCTCTGCAGAGGATGAGAAGAAGGTGTTGGAGCGCGTCATCAAGAACCGTCTCAAACCCGGCGGAAAATTTGGTGAGACTGCTGCCAGGCTATTTCAGTCGTTTGTGCAAGGGGGCGTCTCTCTCAACATGACGCAGCAGCTGCTTCAGTCTACCATGTACCACACCACGGGGGTGCGACTCAAACAAGATCTCAACATCACGTGTGCCCGCAACACGGTCAAGGTTCTTGCTCTCGGCATTACGCAGCTAGATGGGAATGAGTTGGTCAAAGCGATTCTCAAGGCGCCGTTTTTGCTGATTGCCGGTGACGAGTCTCTCCGCAACGGGGACAAGAAGTTCCCCATCTTCGTCGCTTTTTACGACGTGGAGGCGGACGCGCCGTGGTTTGGATTGGTGCGCGTATGTAGCATGAAAGACAAGACAGCAGAAACACAGGCTCAGCTTTTTTACGAGACGATCGTCGACACGCTCGGGTACCCAAAACACCAGGTGCTCTACGTGTTGAGTGACAACACCGCGTCTGTTTCCTCTGAGGGGAAGGGTTGTGTGAAGCTGTTGCAGAGAAAGCTACGGGGAGAGGATACCACCAAAAAATCCACAAAAAGAGCTACAGGAGGCACCAGCAGCGGCAGCAGCAGCAGTGGTCGTGGTGTTCAGCAACGAAACGCACCGGCGGCGGCGGCCGAACGGGCGGGGGCGGGCGGGGGGCGGGCCAAACGCAAACAAACCGCCGCTGCAGAGGGAGCGGACAAAAGGCAACGCAAACGGGGTGCAGGGGGGGGGAAAGGGAAAGGGAAAGGGAAAGGGAAAACAGAGGCACCGCCGACTCCTCCTGCACCTACCAGGACGAGTGGTCGCAACAGGACGCAGACATGGAAAATCCAGGAGGCAGATGGGGGGGGCAGCTCGGCGGAAGAGAGCGGGTGTGAGAGTTGAAGCGTTTCACTGGTGTTGATACTTGCGTTCTTCAGAGATGCTCGCGTCTCTATTTGCAACTAGATGTCATGTGTTGGATGCGTTTTGTTGTGGAGGTCATGTGGTGGTGGGAGGGTTGTTTTCAGTAGCTTCCTTCGTACGCGTGAGGTCTTTTCGCGTGTGACCGAAGTTGAAGTTGAACGAGAAGTTTTGTGATTTTTGATGCGTTCGTGCGCGTGAGCACGCACTGAACAAGAGCGTTGAGAAGCATGGTGTGAGAGATAGCAAACGACGCTCGACTCTGTCGTTATCTACCTGCGGCCTTCTGAGCTGCAGCCTTCGTTTTGTACACATGATGGTGGTGTTGCACACGGAGAGGCAGAGCGATAAAATGATGTTTGTGAAAGTAATGTTTCGCTGTTGATTTTTTTCCGACGATTTTTTTCCGACTTGAAAGCAACGTCACTCAACCGCCGTCCACATTTACTCCGACTCTAATTCTGCTGCGGTCACCCGCGGCCGCCGATTCCCTTCCTTCTCTAACGTAACCAGCAAATCATCTGCAGCTTCCGGTTCCAATACTCTTGTTCTGCTCAAGTTTTCGGCCGGTTTTCGTGCGTGGGAGACAGCCTTTGCTTCCCTTGCCTTCTCCAAAACCTTTTTGCCAGCGGCACGGATTTTTTCGCCCGTCGCATCTGCGCACACGATATCTCTAGACTCGGCTGACTTCCACCCCCCAACACGAACAATATCCATCTCAGCCATGTCCGTCTTCTGTGCGCATGAGTCGAACTTCGAAAAGAAGGCTTCGATCAACTGCTGGTGAATGGGAACAAAGTAGAATCGGTGACACACCAACTTGTACAGGAGGGGAAAATCGAACAGACGCGCCAACGCTGACGTACCCTTTGGTGCACCCTGGTCAACCTCCTTGTCACCCCACCCAGAATTCGCATACTGCTCGAGTTCGTTCCTCACAGAACGGTCGCTATCAATGCGTGAAAACAGCCCGAACGTCAACTCATCTTTCCTTCTTGCATCGGTGGTTCCCCCCAAATCCTTCACGAGCTGCGTTCGGTATTCCCTCTCCCTTTCCGTGCGCGGCTCTCCCTCGTATAGAGCAGACCAAGCTACATGAAGGAAGGCACGCGCAAACTCCGGCCCCACCGCCTGCTCTACAGCCCCTTCCCCCATGATTCCTGTCCGAGCGAAAAACGAGGGGCATCCAATCCGCGCCATGCTCAGAGGTAGCTGCTGATGCCGCTCCATCCACCTGATCCATCGCTGCTTGAACTCGAGCAAAAAAACCCTTGTCCTCACTGAAGTTTGTCATGAATAATTTCGCCTGCAGCACGACAGCGACAGCGTTTGCGACCAGTTCAAGCGGTAAAAACATTAGTGTCACCAGGCAAAAAGCAGAAGCAGTGGCACCAGTACTAGCGACAAGCACCAGCCGTTACAAGCAGTGAGAGGTAGTGGCGCGACAAGCAGAGGGAGGTAGTAGCAGCAAGAGGGTGCGGAGAAATGTGGAGGGGGTAACGACGAAAGCAAGTTGATGAGAGAGAAAAAAACGTGAAAATTCGCGATATTGCAAACCACCACGGCCGTTCACACAGCAGCAGCAGCAGCAGCAGCAGCAGCTCCAGGCTGAACCCCTCTCTGTTCCAAACTGCAATACTCAGGCCCGCCACCACTCACCATCGCTTCAGATAGGGTTGTTTGAACGCGTTCCAGGACCGCTGCGAAGTAGGTCTTGGGGTCCTTGCGGATAGTCTCCAACTTGACCAGCAGCAGGCGAGAGAAATCAGCCACCTCCACCAAACGCATCCCAGGAAACAGCTGCCGACCGACCCCTTCGCCCTTCAAAAAGAACCCGCCCTTGCCACGAATCCAGTTGTACGCCCAGTCGAACAACAGCTCCCCGAGCCTTGCCGTGAACATAACATGCACACGAACCAGAGGGTCTCGCAGCATGTACGCCGATTGGAGCCAGTAGTTCCTGAATGTGGTCTTGTTGAGGTTGCGAGCAGCGTACTCGCAAAAAAGCCACTCAACCTGCTCCCAGCGTTTACACAGGAGCTTGGCCCCGTCCATAACCACCATCCAACGCGTCTCGGCAGGTCTGACCAACTTGATGAGCCATGGCTTCGCGTCCGGGAACTGCTGCTGCACTACCCTCTTCCACCGCTGAAAATTGGCGTTCGAGGATTCCGAGCGGCTTGTGTTGTACCAAACCATACCAAGAAGGGAGAAAACATGGTCGCGCTCCCACTCATGCCAGGAACCCTTACCAAGCGGGCCCATGAAGTACACACTAGTCATGCCCGCAGTGATAGAGATGTGCAGGACGTGTAGAACACACCCCAGGCGATGCGCGTGAATGATGGGCGGCTCAACCTCGCTGCCGCCGCCGCCGCCGCCGCTGCTGCTGCTGCTGCCGTTTTTTTCAGCAGCAGTAGCGGCGGCGGCAGGTGTCGGCGTGGCTTCATCGCCCGGCTGCTGCTCGGGTGTGTTATAAGGCATGTGTTGTAGAGTGGAACCGCGCAGAGGTGTTGTGGTTGTGCCCACAGCAGCAGTGCATATCAGAGCTCACACACGAGCGGCGCAACGGCGCTCTCGCGCGTACACGTCAGCTGTTTTTGGGGAGCTTTCGGACCGTTCCGTGCAATTTAATTGGCCAGCTGATTTTCCATCAGCAAGATCCGAGGTCATTTTTTCAAATTTTTTCCTATAGGAAAAAAACAAGAGAACAAAGAGCAGATATCAATACAATCGGACAAGCGACGACACGTTCTGCCGCGATCCCCACATATTGACGACCATGTTAACTTGCACCATCTCTATCCCGTCAACTGGTCTGGCGCAAATCAGATTTGATGAAAATCGGTCATACCTTCGGCAACAAAAATTCTGCCACGGGTACCGTTGGTTGGGGGCGCCACTGAAAGCAGCGTGGAATCGCAACAGAAAACAGACCCAGGGTCAGGGCGGGATCCGCAATCCGGTTCGCCTCGCAGATGTTGTTCGGGCCCCTACACCGGGTCTGACGTGTATTGCTGATTACAAGACGGCGTTTTGCGGCTATGCCGCAGCTAGTTGAAACATGCCGAAGTTGCATGCGCATTCGGCACGCTGGTTTGCGGTATCACGCAACGTCCAAGTATACTACCAAGACAGGTGAAGGAGCAGAGTTAGGGCCAATACACACCCTAACTACTATTTTCAGAGTTAGGGCCAACCACCCTAACGACTATTTTCCACCCGAGCACAGTATCCCCTCACGCGCACGAGAAAGGAGCGATGGACTCAAAATGCAGGGTCAGCAGCTGAACAAAATACCAAAGATTAAGTTCGTTCTGGTAACCGGCGCATTTTTCTCAACAGTTCAAATTCCTAAAACACCGCCGCCGGTTCGTCGTCTCCTCCGCTCTCGTTCCCACTTTCGTAGTGATCAACAGCATAGTCGTCGTCCTGCTCTTCCTCTTCTACTTCGGCCTCGACATCGCTCAACATGCCCGCATCCTCTTTGTCCTTCTCCTTTTCCGCCCCCCCCGTTTCGGCGCTTTTTCTTTCCTTGTCTTCCAAAGCTGTGAGCGACTTGCCGTCGAATGCTGGCAATGGCTTGAGGCCCGGCAACTTTCCGCCGGCAGCCGTCGTTCCTATCGCTGGTCTGTCCGTAAGTTCTGGCGGAAGATGCCGCTTCATCCCGGCGGACAACTGGCTGGCAAGCGATTGTCCTCGATAGCCACCTGAGTGAACGCCGTCAGAGTACCTCTCAACATCTTTCACCGCGTACTTGGGAGTGATGTAATAAATGGACTTGGACATATCTGCCGCCAGCTCCCTTTGCTTGGCGACATGGCTGACGTCGTCTTCCAAGATTCGAATAGGCCCAGGGAGGTCCATTCGAGGGTACAGAACAGGCGCCTCGCTCTGGTAGCGCAACATGGCAGAGAGGAAGCAAGGAGCGCACTTTGATTCAGGACTTTTCGAAAAAACGAAGTTAAAACACTCGTTGTAGAAGAGGTCCATGCAAGGATATTTTGGCGCCTTACACACAGCATATATGGTACTTGAAGTATTTCTTCAACATGATCAACAATCAATCCCTCTTTCCACAAGCACACCCAAAAATCCTGTAGCTGGATGGGGGACGATATCCGTTTCAGTAAAAACAGGTAACCACATGTAAGTATGGATGGGGGGGTGTACTCATAGTTGTGCATGCCGTAGTCGTTAGACCATTGACCTCACATCCCTACGTGGGGTGTGCCAATGCACAAACTTAGAGTGTGCCAAAATAAGCTACTCTCTTGTTTTCTAGCGCTGGGGGGAATTGTTCTTACTCTTTGTGGCACCTCTCGTTCGTCCCGCAGTCTTAACACCTCTCCGTCAAGTGCTCGGCAATCAAGCCTAATTGGCCCAAGGGGCTCCGAACAGTCCGGTGAGAATGATCTCCATCACCACCAGGCTGCCTCAGAGATAAACAGTAGCGTGGTTTAACAAAGTCTCCTGCACTTAACATGAACATTGTGTTGCTTTCCCTACTCTGAAGCTACAGCGGTGGGGTGTATGTTGGCAACGGTGGGACGTGTTGTGGGAACCATGTATTCTGCTTCCTCGACTAAGGAGCGGCGAACGGGTGTCACGCAAAAGATTCCTTTCTGCGTTACATACCTTCAATTTCGCGAGATTAGCAATCTTCATTCCCTAGCCAACAATAGAGCCGATTTTGTGTCGGCAATCACGCCAGCAGATACAAGGGCTCCGAGGAATATGTTTCCCTGACTGGCTTAGAAGGTGACGGCCACCAGTAGTAGTGTGCACTACTGCTGCTGTGTATACTATGTAGACGCCCAAAAGGGGACACTTTGGGTACACAGCACTCAAACTGCCCCTGTACCGCACCGTAGGCCCTACAGTAGGCTCCACTGTGTGAAACGCACGTGAGAACCCTTGGCCTATCATGCTTGGGTGAGGTGGTACACTGCTGTGTGATACGCTGTGTGACGCCTCTCCTCGGCCTCAGAGTTGCTTCACACAACCTCCCAAGCCTCGTGTCCCCCTAGGTGGTAAAGTTTGCTAACTTGGGTTGAGTATAAAAAGCCTCCCCACAGTGTTTTGGGAACACTTTTCATACTGAACCCAATTAATTCACCCTTTGTTTGGCAAGGAGCTCGACACTTTCCGATTTCTATGGCGGGACTTTTGCCCCTCGGTCAATGATATCCTGAAGATATTTTGTATATTCTTTTGCGTAGGAGGGTTAACGTGTAGGTCGCACCGCCCAGCTGCCTCTGAAAAATGAGGGAGCACTGTAGAAGTTGGATTTCCAGCAATGTGACCCCAACATATAGCAGTATCATCTCCATTTCGGCGCCCCAAGCCACGCCACTCGTAAAATACGTCGTTTCGGCGTTGGTGTATCGCTCGATTGGGGGCACCTTGGCCCCCCAATCAAGCGATGCTTCTACATACTGTAGTTTACACAGGCATGTTGGACGCAACGAGAGGTCGTGCGCAGCAACAAAAGGAGTGTTGCTACAGTTGCTGCAAACTTCGACTTCACTACCACCTTTCGCGCTGAAGCCAGGGCGACGAACACTCAAAGAACCCACAGGGCATTTCGTCATTTCTTCGCTGTATGCACAGGAGATCCTTGTTTCCAGCTTGGCATTTGTCCCAGTAGTCGCAGCAGTAGTAAAATAGACATGAAGTGTGTACATCGCATTAAATGAAGTAAAATAAATAGCTGGGTTCTGGCTCTCGACCTGTCACCAAGTTCTGAATGGCGACGACGCCATCTGCGGGGAAGCAACAGCTAATTACATGTAAAATATATTTAATATTAATGCGAATATTTCAGATGGATCCTACCAAAGGGGGGAGGAGTCTGAAATTGGTGTTTATTGGAGTTGGTAGAAGAAGTGGGCATTTATATTATATGGCAAAGAGTATGTCTGCGCGCTTGCAGGAGAGGAGGCATGCGCGCCGAGATAAGGCAGCTGCTCGCAGGACATTCCGTTTGCGCCCGATCACGTTGAAGCATCAGCAGTGCTGGAGCACAGGGACTGCTAGATGTACGATTGGACAACGCTGCCAGCTGCTGGTTTAGGACATTCTGTTCCGGGAGCTAGTGTTGTCGTCTTTTCCGACGGGGCGGAGACCACTACCGCTGGGCGGGAGGAGTCGCTACGTCGAGACTGGCAGCACATCGACTTCGCTTGGTACGTGCGACTGACTGTGATGCTGCGTGTTATCCCAGCAGCATCACAGCGAGAGCTGGCTTTCGCAGACAGCAGTTAGTGCACACAATGACAAATGTTGTTATTGTATAAGGCACACGGGGGCCGAGGCTGTAAGGATTCACGTGCCATATGTGAAGTTGGCGGGCGGGTGTGGGCATGCTGTATCGATGTTGTTGACTGCTGTTGGGCTTGTTCGGGAAGAGAGTCCGAAGAAAGAAGCAACCGGTTACTGGTGCGACTGCGGCGTGTGCGCTGGTGTGCATGCGATAGGCGCCGAGACTCCCTCGATGCCGGTAGTTCGCTTACGCGGGGTATCGGCCGAGTTTGCAACATGCGACAGCAGATATCATCGAGCATGTCCGAAGCACCCGATCATTTCTGGTGTGCTGAGTGAAAAGGTCACATAGAGCGGTACGAGCGCGTGTTCGCGTTCCTATGTATGCATACAGCATATATCTATATCTAACCGACAATGTGGTTAGGTGGCCGCGGTGCGTGTGTGCTGGTGTACGCGGGAGAGGCGCCGCGGCCGGTTATGGGTGTCGCATTACAGGGCACCGTGCCGAAGGTGGAATTCGGAGTGCTGCCTGATGTTATGATGTGACAGCGGTGCCAATTTTAAAACTTCAACGCATAGACTATGAGGATGATGCGAAAGAAACTCGACCGCATCGCAAACGCGTGGTACTTTCCGGTCCATAGTGTCAGAGACTATGGTGTGATTGTGAGAAATACCGATCGCGAGACGAGACATATCGTCTGGGGTGTTTGTCGGAGTGCGACACGGGTGGTGGATTGGTGACACACAAAGCTGCCGTCCAAACCCAGCGACAAACAAACACACAAAAACAAATATACTTTCGGTTGTTAGTGCTGCTTGTCATGTCGTGTACACTTGATGGATGGTTTTCTTTTCCCACGAGGTTTTCCCGAAGCCAATGTGGACCGGATGAGAACATGATAGCGACTAATCGATGATGGGTCGTGGTTATCAGGAGCCGAAAGCAAGATGTATGGCATGTATGTATGTCGCTGGTGCGACTGCGGACGGTATGCGGCCGTCATGGCACATACTGAATCTTGCATGGGCCGGTTGTGCACGCACGAATGTGGGTCGTCGTGCACGAAAAATCGGTGGAACGGCACGATAAACAAAGCAAATCAATAGATATGGAGCTGCTTACGCTGGAGCGTATGGTTGCCGGCTCACGGCCTATTGATGGTGGCGTCTCATCATGTGATGAGTCGTGGTCATCAGGAGCCGAAAGCAAGATGTATGGCATGTAGGCGCTGGTGCGCCTGTGTAACGGCGTGCGGCCGTCATGACACATACTGAATCTTACATGGGCCGGTTGTGCACCGCGACGGTGGATCGCCGTGCAGGGAATAATCGGTGGGACGGCACGATCAACGGAACCATGCACGATCAACGGAACAAGCGTATGGTTGCCGGCTCACGACCTATTGATGGTAGACCAGGATGGCGGGTCATTGGAGATGATCCGTGGTGGTCAGGAACCGCGCGCCAGGTGTATGGCATGTAGGTCGCTGGTGCGCCTGCGAGACGATACGCGGTCGTCAGGACACATACCAAATGTCATGTGGCAGGGGCCGGTTGTGCGCGCCCAAATGTGGATTGTCGTGCAAGGTAAAATCGGTGGAACAACAAAATTCGGTGGAAAGGAACACAGCACACAAAACAACCCAAAACAGAATGGTCACATTGGGTGGTGCATGGTTTGCACCGGTGTGTGGACATCGGGTGGTGCATGGTTCGCACCGGTGTGTGGATCAGGGGTGGCACTATGTACATGTGACAATGGTGGGTGCCACAGATATGCATGCTTCGTTAGTCATCCACGAGTGTTGTACTGGTGTACATGGGGCTGCATACCACATTGTGTGCACTGCTTGAGGGGTACATGGTCCGACTGCACCGGCTATTACACGAGCGAGGAGATGTTCCTGTGCGCGCCGGTAGGCAGGTGCATACCGTGACGCGTTTACTGCATCATCGTTCTGACGTTCCCCATATATATTTTGTCCTTGTGTCTTCATACCCAATTGTTCGCCCGTGATCAGGATATTGATCGGTCATCGGGGGCCCGTCGTCGGGGGACGGAGGTATGAGTAGGGACGGGGACGCCTCGGATGAGTCCGTGATTGGCCGCGAGGAGTACGAGGCGGAGAGGCAGGACAGCGCTAATGAACGGGCCATTATTAGCGCGTCGGTTGAGGACCTCAAAGCCGACATGGCGGCGAGGTTCGAGGAGGTGCTGGCGGCCGTACGCGCTCGGAGCGACGGGTTGGCGGCGGGTGGTGCTGCCGGGGTTGCGCCAGCGCCGATGTATGGGGGCGCGGGGGCGCATGGCTCCTCGTCCGCCTACGGGCCGCATCCCGTTGGTCCACGCCCCGAGTTGCGGCAGGACGTTGGTTGGGGGGGCGGCGGGAGCGGTTTAGGCTTCACCCCCGCGACGGCGTCCCGGTGGGAAGCGGGCGGCTCGCACATGGGTCCCGGTATGTACGGGGGCGGCGCCGGGGTGTGGCATGTTCCACGACGGATGGAAAAGGTGATCATGGACCAGCGGGTGACCGCGTGGAGCTTGTCGCACACCCGCATGTGGTGGGTGGTGATGGGATGTTTTCCACCAAAAATCGAGAAGCAGAGCTTGCAAGGGCTCATGTACGACGGCGTCGAGG